GAGTCCCTCTCACATGTCACTGGACACCCTATTGAACATCTGTTTTTTCTCCACCTAAAACCATCCGTTCCTGACGGAGCTCACCTCACATGCCCTCCTCCACGAGGCCCCTCTCCCAAGTCGTCCCAGGTGGAGGGGCAGCACTCTAGGCATCCCAGGGTCTCTCCAGCTATCTGAGAACTTTTTCTGGGTCCCCCCTGGAACTTTCTTCATGGAGACAGCGTCTAGTCCAGGAATGGGAGGCCACCTGGCAAACATGTAGCCATGTGCCCATGGTGTGTTAGGACAGATGTCACTGAGCATTCTGGCTCTTTACAGACAAGCACTGAAACCACCAGTGCTGGTCCATCCAAGACTATAAGTGACAGGAAATGGGATTGCCCAGCCACCTTGCTGATACAGACAGGGAGACAGAGGTTCAAAGAGGGAACAGTCCTGCCCAAAGGCACTTCATGAGTCCTTCCTGATGTGACAGGTGGCCTCAGTGAGGAGTTCACATCCCAGCCTTGCCAATGGCAGTGAAAGGGAAGTCACTAGAAGGTATAAAACGGGGCATCTAAGAAGAGATAGATGTTGCTGATAACCCATGTCAGAGTTCATCTGGGTAACTCATGTCCTCCCAGGCCAGACTGTATGGCCGCCTTGTCCTAAATTGCTTTCGGAGTCCTGCTGCTCCTGATCCCACAGAAGGGGCAAGGCGGTAGGAAAGTGCCTCTCTGACTCTGGGTGCTGGGCTAAGCACTAACCCGTGTTCTGGAACCAAGAGCACGTCCTTTCTCTTTCTATCCACCCCTCAAGGCCATGCTTCTTCTCCTCTCCGTGGTGGTCCTGCTCACACAACCTCCAAGGCCATGGGGAGCAGAAGTGAAGAGCCTTTCCAAGAAACCTTTGATTGATGACTGCACCCTGGTCAAGTGTAGCCCTGTGGAGAATGGCCTGCCTGGTCGTGATGGACAAAATGGGAAAGACGGCCGCCTTTGCAAGAAGGGGAATCCAGGTAGAGCTGGGACCATGGGCTTGTCCTGGTGGGCATGGGTGGGCACTGGAATTGTAACCAACTCAGCAACTCTGGATGTTCTGCCGTGGAAGCCCTGGAAATGGAAGCCCACCTCCTTGGGAAGAAGTCCCCTAGACATTCAGTCCACCTAAAGCACCTCGTTACCAGATGGCAAATGACAGGCTGCCCTGACCACCTAAAGCTCGCTACCAGTTGGCAAATGACAGGCTGCCCTGAGCCCGGAGGTGTTATTCCCCCTCCCTAGCTGTCAGGATTCCTCCCCTAGGATCTTCTGATTCCTCTCACCCCAGGAATGAGCAAATTGTGGGTAAATGACTGGTATTGGGGGCCCATAGAACTAAGCTGCGGCACTTACAATTGTTCATTGTGGTTGAATGATTTCTGTGCAGTATGTGGAATATTTAAATTCTACTGCATGAGAGGTTGGCAAAGATGAGGCCCCGTGGCCCCACACTCAGGCCTGATCAAAAGGATTTACCTAAATGCACTACAGAGAGGAGGAAAGGGAGCTCATGTTTTATAACTGGACCTTTGTACCTTTTGACCTTCACCCATTTTGCCCACCAACCAGCTCCCATCTTATGCAACCACCAATAATCTGATCTCCGCATTTATGAGTTCAGGTTCTTTGTTTTGTTTCTTAGAATCCAGATATAACTGAGATCATACTGTCTCTGTCTTAATTTGTATGACTTATGGCACTTAGCATAATTTCTTCAAGATCCATTCCTGCTGTGGCAAATGATAGGATTTTTTTATGGTTGAATACTATTCCAGTGTGTGTGTGTGTGTGTGTGTGTGTGTGTGTGTGTGTGTGTGTGACATTTTTATCCATTCATCCATTATTGAACACTATAGCCCATCTCTTGGCTACTGTAAAAAATGTTGCAATGAACATGAGGGTACAGACATCTTTTCAAATTAGTGTTTTATTTCCTTTGGATAAAACCCAGAAGTGGTATTGCTTGATCATACTTTTTTAAAAAATTATCTTTTTAATGTCTTAAGGAAACTGCATAATGGTCCCCATAGTGGCTGCACCAATTTACAATCCGACCAACAGTGCATAGGAGTTCTTCCTCTTCACATCCTCACCAACACTTGAGATCTTTTGTATTTTTCATAGTCACCATTCTAGGAGGAGTGAGATGATATCTCTTGGGTTTGATTTGCATTTCCCTGGTAACTCATGTCAGGGATCATTTCTGATATAAAGTTTGGTCCTAGGAAGGGGAAAGCAAGGAGTCCATGATCCAGGTTAAAAGCTGGCAGATCCCCTGCTGTAAATCCTGGTGCCTCGGGGCAGGGAGGATGCACTGTAATGAAATCAGACAGTTCTTGGCTTCATGTCCCCATAACAGCTCTGGCAGGCCTGTTTCCTCACCTGTGAAACGGGGATGTGCACACCCGTCTCCTGGGTCACCACTGGACTGAGGAGTGTGGAGGTGGAATGTCTACACCTGCGGAACCTGAAGGAATGCAGGGCTGACCTGCAGGTGCTGCTCCTCCTCCTACCAGGGCCAGGTTTATGCCCATTTCTTCTGCTGCTGCAGGTTCACCAGGAGCTAGAGGGCCAATGGGGATGCCTGGACCTGCTGGCCCAGCTGGGCCCAAAGGGGACAATGGCTCTGCTGGAGAACCTGGACCGAAGGGAGACTCGGGGCCACGTGGTGAGCAGTGGGCGTGGACTGCAATGCCTGCCACTAGGCCATGCGAGAGGATGCACATACCCATCCCAGGAAGGAGGGTGCCCTGCGGGTGGTGCTGGGTTCACACAGGGAAGGCTGTAATACTGCTGGGCGGCGTCTGTAGGATGGTGCTGTTCTCTGACCTCTATGACTGCTCTCACCTTCTCACGCTCTCCCCCTTCTGAGAAGACTCCGTGCACTGACTGGCTGGTCCTTTCGCAGGACCTCCGGGACCTCCAGGTGTGCCTGGGCCGGCTGGACCAGAGGGTCCCTCAGGAATGCAGGGGAATGTGGGACCACAAGGCGAACCAGGCCCCAAAGGAGAGCCTGGGCCCAAAGGTAGGAGGTTGGTGTGTGGAGGTCCAGAAGGGAGAGGGAGGAGTGACAGTGGCAACCCATGATGTGACCTAAGGATGCTCAGTGTGCCAGGGAAGCCAGGCCATCACCACTGGCAGGCCCTGCTGTGGCCCCTGCCCCCCAAGCTCCCACATCTGGAGGACCAGACAGTGGGATGCACAGCCCCCCAATTTTCCTCCACGTGGAGCTGTGGAAATGATCAAAGCTGCACACACTCTCAGCAGCCTTTGTCCCAATCTGTTCCTTCCTCAAAAGAAGTGGGTGCCCCAGGCGTGCAGGGCTCTGTAGGGACAAGAGGCCCCCCAGATCCCAAAGGAGAGAAAGGTGCCCCTGGTGAGCGTAGAGCCCCTGGGAGTGCAGGGCCAGCAGGTGATTGATGGGAAAAGCTGGGGTGGGCCTTCGGACCTCCTGTGTCCACCTGAAGCTGCGGATTCCTGTTCCTCCCCCATCATAATGCTGGCTCAGAGCTGCAACACTGGGCCTTGGGCAGTCTGTGCAAGGAGGTGCCTCACTGGGCTTGAGCTCTGTAACTGGGGAGAGTGCGGTGTGAGCAGCAGGGACAGTCCGCATCCTGGGAAGGCCGGGTGCTGGGTGATGGGACTGTACTGTACAGAGAGGGTGCGTGGCTGGTTTTGGGACAGACTGTACGTGGGAGGCTGTATTGCTGGACAATAGCACAGTCCATATGCTGGGAGGGGGAAAATGTGTGCTGAGCTCACCCTCCTCTTCTTGTCTGATCTCAGGGCCTGCAGGACCCCCGGGCCCACAGGGACCTCCAGGCGCCAGGGGCCCCCCAGGACTGAAGGGGGACAGAGGTGCTCCTGGGGAGAGAGGACCCAAGGGAGAGAGTGGGCTTCCAGGTAAGGTCGCCTCCCCTGGCTCTGCGCACCCCACCAGGTGCAGAGGGAGGAGGGCCCTCTAGTTCAGTGGTCAGCCCATTGTGGGGGCAGGAGGCGGGTGTGAAACTGGGAAAGGCTGTCAGGCCGGAGGTAGGAAGGTGAGGCTTTGGATAGACCCTGTGCTCAGGGGAGGACCAGCCTGAGCAGCTTCCCATCTGATCACTGATACAGCTCAGCTCTCTTCCCTGTTCACCGGAGAGCTGTGAGCACCAAATAACCCAGGGATGGGGAGTGCTTCAGGGACATGCAATTCCCCCCTCCTCACCCCCCCAGGGATGTGCCCCAGCCTCTCAGAATTTGCTGTGAAATGCCATCTGGATCAGAGTTAGTGGGGTCCCAGGACCTGCTCAGGGCACAGTGTGCTCACTACAGAGCCTCAGGGACGTGTGGGCAGCAGGGGCCAGCTGTGTCAGCCTATCACTGAGCACCCTTCCCTTGGGACCCAGACTCTGAGCCAATCCCTGGCTGTGAGGGACTGGTCTTCACTGTGCCTCTCTCTCCTGCAGACACCGCTGCTCTGAGGCAGCAGGTGGAGGCCTTGCAGGGAGCCTTCCTTCAGTATAAGAAAGGTGAGTTCTGGACCTGGACTGAACCTGAGCCAGTCACCAAGGGCAGGCCCCAGGCAGGGTCTGTGTTGGGTTTGGAGTTGGCCGGGCCTGAGGCAGGCCTGGTTCTAGGATTGGGGGCTCTAAGGTGGTAGTGGCTTTGGACGATGGGCTGGACCTGGGGCTGGGGCAGGACCTGGGGCTAAGCATAGGGTGAGGCAGAGCAGGGCAGCCACATGGTCCAGGAGCTGGAAGCAGATGCAAGGGACACGGAGCAAAGTGTGGCCCCAACACCAGCTCAGTGGGCTGGCGCCAGCATGGTCAAGGTACCAGGCTCCAGCCTCCTAATATCACAGCCACCTGTGACCTGAGCCAGATCAATGCCCCAAGCCCAGTGCAGGTCAGACCTTCCCTCCTGCTAACCTGTGCTGGTCCCTGGACACCCCACTACCCAGGATGCATTTCTTATCTCTATGGGGCTAGATGTGCAAACCACTCAAGATGTTGCTGCCCAGCTCACAGTAGCAGCGACTCCAGACATTGTCCTGAGAGTTGGGGCTGGGGTGCTGTGCTTGGGTTCAAGGCTGTGAGGGTCTGACCTTGGCATGTGGCCATTGAGAGTCTCACCTGAGACAGGCCCTGGGTCCGGCAGGGGGCAGGCTGCGTCTGGGCTCTGCCCAGTGCTGGGCTCTCCCGCTGCTCCCGGGGTGTTCATGGTGGAGACTCTCCCCTAACCTGGGTGCTGAGGAGTCAGAGGCTTCAGGAGCACAGCCCAGTGCCTGTGCCTGTGGGCATCTCCACCTCAGTCCCTAATTTCCCCCCTCCTCCCCGCTTTCCCCATGTCAGCTTTGAGTTCAAATCTTTCAGCAAATCTCATTGATGCAAAGAGGAGTTTCTGACGGAGGAGAGAACGCAGGGGTGACATGTAAGATTGTCTCCTATGTACCTAAAACCACTAAGTACCCATGTTCCAAGGGTGAGGTTTCAAGCATTTAGTATCTCTCCCTCTCTCCACAAACATGCATGTGTGCTTACTCCCTCACATGCACACTGATGCAAACATAGGAAAATTTGTGATATGCACCTGCCAAATATGTGTGTATTACACACTTGCCATCACTCACCTCACGTCATCTACACCCATAAGCACACACGCATATTCACACACACACAGGTGGACCTCCAGTGCTCCCATGTGCCTTCAGATGGACACATGGCCATGTTCGTGTATGCACACACAGACCCACCCGGGTGCAGGTAGTGAATGGCTGATGAACTCCTGTCCAGGGCTGCTCTGGGTGCCCTCCTGAGCCTGGGTGCCCTCCTTGTGAAAGGGTCACAGTGGGTCAGGGTACAGCCTGGGCTCAGCCCTTGGGGATGGAGCACAGGCCTCTCAGGAGCCCTGAAGGCTTCTATGCACAGACCCAGAAGTCAAAGGGATGGAAAATGAGCCCGGGAGCATGGCCCAGTGGTTGAGCGTTGGCCTATGAACCAGGAGATCATGGGTCAATTCCTGGTCAGGGCATGTGCCTGTGCTATGGGCTTGATCCTCATTCTGGGGTGTGCAGGAGGCAGCCAATCAATGATTCTCTGTCATCATTGATGTTTCTATCTCTCTCTCCCTCTCCCTTCCTCTCTAAAATCAATAAAAATATATTAAAGCACACACACACACACACACACACACACACACACACAAAGAATGGAAAATGAGATGGAATGAAATCATATAGTTGAATGTCATACAGGTGATGCTTTTATAAATTGTATTCCCATCTTAGAGATGAGGAACTGGAAACCCGAAAAAGGAAGTGACTTTCCCTTGTTCACTTGGACAGTCATGGCCAAGGCGGGGCTGAATACCTGGCCCTCTGACTCCCAGACAGGCCTCTCTCCTGCACTGACTCTCTCCGGCCCCTGACGCCCATGCACACCTCTCAGCTGTCCTTGTCCTCTCTCCCAGCTCTCCAGCCTCCCCCACGTGCACACCTAGAGGCCAGCACTGGGCGCACACAGTGCAGAGATTAGCACAGCGCTGCCCTCAGATGGCCCAGCCTCTCCTCTTCTTTCCCACATCCACATGCGGCACAGACCTCCCTGTCAATGCCACATGCCCTGCTGTTATGCAGTGTCCACAGTGAGATCAGTGAGCACCTTCCTTGTTTCCAGCTCTCAGAGGCTGCACGATGCCAAAGCTTCCCAGTCCCACTCAGTAACTGGGAAACCGATTCTGCCTGCAACATGGGGTGAAATAGAAAGTACACGTCTCAGCTCTAGTATGAGATCAGATAAGGGTGACCCCCAACTCTGCATGTGATGGTCACATGAAGTTGAGTCTCTTACTTAACCTCTCTGAGCCCAGTGTTCTCACCTGTAACTAGTAAGGCAGATCCACCTCCCAGAGCGCACCGCAGACCTGGGGTCTAACCATTGTCCTCCCTGGTGCTCTGAGGCCCTATATGGGAGGCCTGGGGCTGTGGTTGGAGCATAGAGGTCTCAGAGCCATGGAGCTTTGGCAGGTGCCCCCAGAGCCCCAACCTGACTGTCCTCTCCTCCTAGTGGAGCTCTTCCCCAACGGCCGAGGTGTTGGCCAGAAGGTCTTTAAGGCAGCATACTTTGAGAAACCTTTCCAGGAGGCACAGCAAGTGTGCGCACAGGCTGGGGGGCAGCTGCCCTCCCCACGCTCTGAAGCTGAGAACGAGGCCTTGCAACAGCTGGTCGAGGTTGAAAACAAGGATCGTGTGTTCCTGAGCATGACTGACTTTCAGACAGAGGGCAGGTTCACCTACCCAGGAGGGGAACCCCTGGTCTATTCCAACTGGAACCCCGGTGAGCCCAACAACAAGGATGGCAATGAGCACTGTGTGGAGATGTACACCAATGGCCAGTGGAACGATTTGCCCTGTGAAGAGATTCGCCCTGTGATCTGCGAGTTTTGAGCCCTCGGGGTGGGTGGGGCAGCCGTGGTCGAGGAGTCTGGCCCAGACCCAAGTGCTGCCGACATGACAAGGAAGAGCTGAGGGCTCTGTGGCCGGGCTTCTGCACAGAGCCGTGGGATGAGGCCAGCCAAGGGCTCCCATGGAACTCCTCTCTCAGAATAAAATATGAAACTGGCTTCACTGGCTGCTCTGTCAGAGGATTTAGGGGCCAGCCTGCTTTCCCAGTTGCAAGCGATAAAATTAGTCCCCAAAATATAAAGGCTCCTCCTCAGCCCTCTGCCTCCTCAAACTGTCAACCCACCTAGTCACTCCCTCCTCTGTCACTCCCTCCTCTGTCACTCCCTCCTCT